ATCAACAGCATTCTCCCGCTCGACGGAGAGTGGAACGTTTGTCGACTGTAGAAGAAAGTGATCTGCTCCTACGCTGCAACCACGAAGGACGAATTCGTCCATGGATGTGGACCTTGGAAAGGCAAATTAAGATTGTACGGCCACATATTTAATGAATTAATTGGCAATAATGGGCTTGTTGTCGAACGAGTGCGATCATTCACAATGAGCAGCTTGTCCTCGACCCTGCAATAGAACCCAAGCATGAACGTGACTCGCCGTAAATGGTTTATGAGGTATCATCTCTGGACTGCATAGGGCCGCTGAGAGTCCTGCCCAGCTTGAAGAGGAAGGCTAGCAGGCGGACATGCAAAGGGAATATCGATATTCAGATTGTTGTGTGGGATGGCATCGTTTGAATCGGATAACTGACATTTGTCGTCTAACGTTAAATATCACCTCCGTTCAATATGATGCAAGAAGATTGCACTTTACAACTGTCGTACAACAAGTATCAGCGAAGAACTTTTCGGATCCAGCTGACTGCAAATACAAAGAAAACAACTGATCAACAAGTACTTTCCGACAGTAAAGAAGTTAGGTATCATTTTGCTGGTTAACGAATCGAAATAACTCAACCTCGCTCTCCTCTTTTAATTTTTTACAGACTGTTACAAATAAACAATTTAAGAGTGGTTCTGAACATAGCAAGCAACGTATGTTCTACATAGTTTTTCATTGATAAAATCTGCAAGTACGTGTAACATGAAGGATATTTGATACGAATATGTGGCACATGACTCCTCGAATATCAAATTCCACGACGTAATTTATTGCTTCTTGTTCGCTGTTGCTCAGGGGCCGTTGAAGCAGGCCACGGCTGCAGGGTATTTGAGCACCTGCAGCGCCAAATGCACCTCACATCATCTCGTTCTCAAGAGCCACTAACCAAGTTTCAGAAGCTACTGCTGGTCATCGCGGCCTACCGCATGAGCATCAAAACCTTTTCTTACACCTTGAGTGCGTTAAATGGCGCATAGCTCATCCAAGACCAGATTCGTGTCTATGTCATAAGTAATACAAGAAATCAGAAAAATTTCTTTACCGTTGGGATATTACTCCTATTTACACCTTAATTTTTCGATGTCCAGGAGTTCTTTATTTTTCAAAGATATTATCTGTTAATAGGTTTGGAGAATAATATGCACCATTTACTTCTTTTAACCTATACACTGACATTTCTTCATCTATCTTCTTCGAAAAGATGAAAGGCGAGCAATCCGGCCAAAATTTGGATTGCGAGCCTATCTTTGCTTACGAGGCTGACATTACGTCGACTGAACTATCGTGACGTAACACATAACAAATAAACATACGTTTACGTAGTGTACACTGTTAGATATGACCGTTTCTGAATGATTGGTAGGTTTATGGCATGCCCACCTAAAGGGGAACGGAGTGCTGTACGAGTATTCTCATTGTATATTTCGCTCACTGCGGAAGTAGTTCACCATTGTCGTGTTTATTGTGTATATATGCAATAAACAACTCGATAGCAAGTATCTACTACAGTGATCCATAGGTGCTATTATTGTGTCTGTCAAACAGTAGTGTGGAAGTAGTTTACTATTACTTTGTCAGTTCCAGAGGACACTATCATTTGAATCCTTTAGTTGATTTCTGCTAAGCGACCGTTCATGAATGTAGTATATTTAATGGAAACATAGTAAACGAGCATTTCACTTCTAACAGTTTGCAACAACTTGTGCCACATGGCGACAGATGTATTGCTGCACATACTATGCACTGCATTGTATGATGTGATATTGTGTCTGTATCATCACAAACATCAGCCACGGCTGGATGAATGTCTCTCTAAGATTTTCACCCAGAACGATGTCCCTTGTAAATTTTCAGTACGCGACAACGATATAGCTCATGAAATAGACCTCATGTCGATCTGGATTTTTTCTTACGCGCCATTTTCTGCCCCCTCGAACTCGGTTCAATATCTCGTTGCTGCAGTGTATCCTGTAAATTACCACTTTGACTTCTTCAGTCGAGCAGTGACGTTGCAGACTCTTGTTTGTGCTCTTATCCATTCATTCGTCTTGCTGTATTTCTCGTTATTCCAACCTACGTTTTTCCATGCTTCGTTAGGCCTGATTCTAAAGTGTCAATCTGCGCAAGAGACCTTTGAAGTCGACTATCCCCTTATTTGCAGACGACCCGTAAGGCATGGGTTGACACATCAATCAATCATCCGATTGACCATATTACTTGCATTGCGTATAGATCAGGCATGTTATGTACCGTTTTCAACATGCCGTATTGCGTAGTTTGCTGTTTATGAATATTTTTAGGTTTAGGATTCATGTTTTGCATCAGTAGGTTAGCACAGGGGGTGCATATTGATCAAAAACTTTCCATCTCATCCACAATAGCTGTTTTCCAGATAAAATCATTTTCATCTTCTCTTTGCCATATTTATTCTTTTGTTCGATTTCTTACCGTTTGTTCTCTGTTGCAGAAATATTCATTCCCAGATAGATATAAGGACATAGTTTAATGTCTCTTCATGTTTGAGCGCATTATCTTCGCCAGTTCCTTGGATGACATGTACTATGTAAAAACATCATGGTATTCATCATATGAATCCGTCGCTTTGAACTTTAAAATAAGATATAGAAATCTAAACGAGCACACGAACAAACCGGTTTAAATTGCGTAATGAGAAAATAGTCAGAGCTATTTTAAGTCATGATCGCTAAAATATTTGCAGAATTACGAATCCTGTTAGAAAGTGTGAAAAATTACTAATTGTTTCATATGGCCTTCTTCAGAACTGAAAAACGTGCGGAATTTCGGGCATATAAGGATTTCTGTCAGTTTTAAGGGAATTTTGGACAGGGGGCGTGCCTCATGTATCGCATTTCACGAAAAAATTCAATAAACGATGGATTCCGAGCATCCTTGTTTCATCGTAAATTAGCACGTAATTGTTTACTTCGTTGTTACTTTAGCATCTGTGCTATTACCCCCCCCCGCACCGTGTAACAGTGACTATGACTTTGTTCAACATACAGGAATGAGCTTCGTGATCTTGGTATGCTTCAACCGCCGCCTCAAAGCCTTTGATGACCTAGCCTCGTTTTCATAGCTTTTCTGATCTATCATTACAATCGACATCTTATTGCCAAATTTATCTGCTCTGCTCCACTGTGATTTATGGTCTATGATATGTAATACGTTATCAATATACCCGCTCGGTGGTAAATGCTTTTCGATCGCTTGCTTTTCGAGCATTGTAAAGTTACACGACTACCCGAGAGTGCGTTGCGACCCGAAAAGCAGGAGGTTGCCTGTGGTCGGCGGCTTGTGCTTTCGCCAGATGCCCTTCGCTTCGCGCGACGCAGTCGGTGGGCAGCGAGTCGAGTTTGTTTGCCGATGACACTGAAGAACTCGTTTTGGACGAGGAAAAACCCGGCGAAAGTACTGCACGTAATCGGACAAGTTTTTGGACACGCCGTGGCGCGTTTTTCGGTCGAGGAGTTTGAATTGTTTCTGGACATCCTGGTAATCACTGGCGGAATTTTCGGCGCAGTCAGACAAACTGGCGTTCGGCTCCCGACGTCAGTGCCGGACAGAGGCCGATGGTCGAAATCCAGTATCCAGTCGTTGCCACTGTTTTACCCCCCCCTTTTTTTCAAGGTTCACGCAAACGCCTCGGATCCGTACGTCTTGCGGGTGTCCAGAAATGGCTAACAATGAATTACAGAGTTTCTTTGTACGAACACCTCTGCGAAATGAGGCGCGACTAGAAATCCATTTGCATAAGGCATGTAAAAACGAAATTTCTTACCGTGTAACTTTACATCTTGTAAGACAGGACCGAGAACCGGCTGCTTCGGCCAAACACTCGAACGAGCACACTATTAGCAACGATGGCACCAAATTGTTATCACTTTGGACGTTAAATCAGAAGCTTTAATTTTTAATCTATGGCATACATGACGTAGTTATGTACCAACCGACGGCACCTCTTCATTGCCCATGCCGTAATCAGTCACACAGTCGCTCAGTCTAGCATTCAGATCTGGAATACGACAGTACTACATTCTCCTACTCATTTGGTGCCACGTTATGTTAATAATCCGCATTTAGTGAAACTTTTTACCCGTCTGCGGTATGAAGACAGACATCATCCAAGGGTTCTCATATGGAGTTAATCAAGGGCTTGAAGACCGCATATTCTTGCCATGCTTTGCTACTCTTATGGAAAGTGAAGTGGGTCAGTCAAGCCAGTAGAAATCTGTGCTCCAAACATTGGTTCTGTCGGTGATGAGAAAAAGGGAAGACCACCAGAAAGGCAGCGTGGTTTCATGAATACGATACGAAACTGCGACGAGTGACAGAAGATCTAACGAAAGACCGAAAAACCTTCAGACTGTTGTTCACTTGAACGGCCGACCTCTCTTAAATGAAATACGATGAGGAAAGGAAGTATGTAAAATGAATGACGCATAGACGACATGATTTATCAATACACTGACGAGCGAAATTGTTGACGACCAGAAACTGATATTGACTGTTCAACTAAATGGGTGTATTTCAGAGGTAAACACGACGGAATGAGGTACTGACTTGAAGTTAGATTTCCTGAATAATTTGTCGAAATAACATTTTAATTTTTTATTCGAATAACTTCGAACCACCACCACTCTTTGTAGCCACCTGAAAATCTAATCTACAGAGGATTCTAGTAGCAGCTCTCTGCTAGAGAGTTGTTACAAATGAAATCTGAATGATTATATATAGCATGTCATTCCCCGCAGACAGTTGAATTTTTCATGCTACGACAAGAGATCCAAGAGTTGGTTCGGTTGACCAATTATATAAATTGCTCTTGTGAAGACAGTTTATTTGGGGGAACTGGTCCAAGCTCAGCGACACGATGTAACAATTTGGTCCCACATGGACAAATCCAGATACGACAAGGTCAGCTGCAGCGAAGTGTATCAGGGAAATCTGAGTGTTCCAGTGAAGCATCAGCGACATACTTCGAATAGAAGGTAACGGGAAGGGAGAAGAAGAATATAGAAGTTATTCTAGCAGAATAAGCACACAGCAAGATGAATAGACGACACGATCAGCTCAGCCGTTGTACCATGAAAGTATATGGTAACTAGTTATCTCTTCATTGTATTAAATTTGTTATTTGTTGCTTATTTTAGTTGGCATGTGCCTTTGTATGGTCAGTAGTATACCCCTCACATTACCGTTCAAATCCAAAGCACAAACCCGGTTCCTCAAG